TATTTTAATTCGTTGCTATGTTTTTCCATTTTTCTTTCCAATTTATTAAAATGATAATAATGATATTAATGTTGCTGAAGGTCATCCAACATGAAAATAGGAATATACAGTCCAACATGGATCGCATTTTTAGCAAGCTGGTCAACCAGTTCATTTTCTCGATACCAGTGTGACTTTTTACCCAAATAACGGTAATATCTTTACTATATGTTTTATTTTTAATAGCACTAAGAATACCTTTAATGACCGATAATGAATCTGATAATATCACTGCTTAATTTAAGTTGTGGAAATGTAGCAAATCTAATGCCTTTTTGATTGCTACCGCTTCAACAGTATATATTGAACAATTTGATGGAAGTTTAATTTTCAAAGATAATGTGGAATATGGAATGTAAACTGCACAACCTGTGGCACCATCCTCTTTTTTGGAACCATCGGTATACATACGTGATCATTATAGTTACTAAATATGGATTTAAGTAAGACAAAGTTTATTTATGGGGAATCTGTGTACATTTTTGTAATGATTTTTGGTTTATTTAATGTTACCTGAAAATTAGCTTTATATATTAGTAATCTTTTTTCTTTACCAAAGGTATTACAATTCTTATTAGTTTCTAAGAAAGCATTAGCAAGTGGAGGAGAATTTTTTAGACGCCAGTATTTATTTGAGAGGTTTTCAATAGAGAACTCATACAGTTGGCTAAGTAGGCTATTATTATTTAATCTTAGCTTCAGGATATGTTTAATTGCCATAATTTCTCGACGATTTTGAAGGGGAATTTCAATACTTTCCGCAAGTAGAACAGGACAAGGAGTAGACTTTATGGTGCGAAGCATATTCTTAGACATTTGAACTGAATGTGGTCTGCAGTTAAGTGTATGTTACTGGCGGCACCATAGAGAATGCAACCATAGTCTACAATAGATCGCACGTAGGCTCTGTAAAACATTAGTGCAACTTTAGGGCCAGCACCCCATCTACGATAAGTGACACATTTAAAGATATTAATACCTTTTTCATACCTACTTTTTATATATATTCAACATGTTTTGACCATAAAAGTTTGGAATCAAGAAGAATGTCAAGATATTTCTATTCTTTGACAATAGGTATATCGTATTCAGACACCTTTATTTTGCCAGGCGTACGAATCCTATGTCTAGCGAATATCATTATGGCTGATTTGTCAGGGGAAATGGTCAGTCCATCATTTCTTACCCAGTTATTAACTTTTTGCATGATGAATTCCAGAGCCTCCGGGCAGTCACTGTACGTGTCACCCTCTGTATAGATACATATGTAATCAGCGTATTGAATTCAATTGATTGTGTTGTCAAAATGTCAGGAATACTTGCTAAAAATATGTTGAGCAATAACGGACTTAAAACTGATCCTTATTGAAGACCTTTATGAGCAATTCTAGGACCGTGTAGTTGGTTTAAATGATCTTTGATATATATAACACGATTATTAAGAGTATATAGATAAGATGAACAATATTAGTCGCTCTATTTTAAGGCCTATTATTATCCCGTATAATATAGTTTTTTGTGTAACATGGTTAAGTCAACAGAATCATATGTCCCTTTTAGGTCTAAAAACAAACAAGCAAGATATTTGTTTTTGGAAAACGGTATTTTAATGTCGGTAACTAAATGTTATATTGCATCCAGTGTACCAACACAAGCCCTAAATCCACTGTAGATTAGTATGTATTCACTTAATTTTAATTACCCTTTTGAAAGTTGATTTCATGTAATCTATAAAAAACGATCAACCTTCTAATAAAGTCATCGAATGAATGCACCTCAACAATAGTGACAGTACCGTGTTTTGTTAATTGGGGAATGATTTCCGAGCTGGAAATCTAAATAAAACCAAAATATATTTAATTTATATAATATATTTAATAAGTATAAAAAATATAGTTTCAGTTATAATTGTATTCGGTTCCAAAAAATATAATAGTTAACATAGCAGTATTTGGTTTAGAATACTGCAGATGTTTAAATATCAAATAATTACAAAAACTTAAGATTTAAAGTTTGTGTGTTGTAAAAATGATTAATTATCTATTTCTCTAGTTCTACTGAAGGGCGTATGTGAAATTATTGTCCTTTATTAGCCTTTGTACAAGTTGGCTCCAGTTATCACATCATTTTTTAGCAGAAGTTGTAACTTCCTAAAAGTAACTCCTTAAAATTCCGATGCTATGTCTTTAAATTAATGCTATATAGCGTAGAAGTTGCAACTCTAATAAAACAAATGTTGAACATGTTATATGCCTTTGACAAGAATGCTTTTGTCTCAAAATATCTAGAATTATCTAAAGAAAAAAAAATTAGAATACTCTAACATCTAGGCTATATGATTCAAGGTACAAGATATAGCTTTACTACAAGAAATTATTCAAGGAACATAAAAGAAAAACTAAGCGTAGGAATAAAACGGATATCGCGTCTCCGACATCTTCAAGAATAGTTTAATTTCTCATCATTAAAATTGTGAAAATGTAATCAATGACATAATACCAATAATTGTAAAACGCCAGTTTCAATCAAAATTATAACCCCTCTGTGGCTCAGTGGTAAGAGCGCCTGCCTTTAAACCTAAAGGTCGTGAGTTCGAATCCCACCTGGGTGGAAGTTTTCGTTTATTAAAAAAAATTAATAAATGAAAATAATTTCTGCTTGTGTGATCGGTACACACCGGAGGGACCGCAGACGTTCGGATACAATTAGCGTCTCTTAGCAAAGACAATGACGTCGACTTTGCTAAGTATCAAGACAATTACTCTACACACACACACACACACTACACCTCAAATTGTAAGATTGGCGAATGGATTTAGTGTCCGCAGTCATTTAAACACAAACAAACAACAACAAATCAAAATTACCTTGGTTTGATTATGAGGTGTTTAAACAAATTAAACAACGTGATAGGGCTCATAAAGATTTAAAAAAATGTATTGATGTCATTGAAAAACAACATAAATGGCAGGTTTTTAAGAGACATAGAAATGAAAAAGAGCGGTTCTATTTTAACAAAATAGACAGGTATAGAAACAATCCAAAAAATGTGGAAAACTTTAAAAAAATTAATCAATAATAATAGTCGAGAAATGCCAAACACTGTAATTTTTGAAACTACTACTGGCCTAAAACGGTTAAAAAAAAAGAGTAGAAATAGCTAGCGTTTTAATGAGTATTTTGTTGAAAGCATTGAATGTGTTGTTAAAAGTATTGATAGTTTTAAAACATGGTGTAATGTAAATAGTAATCTATATTTAAATTTTGAAAAATTTTGAAACGCTTTCTATGCAGGATTTGCGAAAAATTGTTGGTAATTTAGATAATAAATTCTCACTACATGGAACGTTAAATTGCAGAATGGTAAAGGAAGTTTTTGAAACCATTGGGTACGTTATGTCAAATTTAATTAATACATCTTTAACTACAGGTAGAATTCCTGGTGTATTAAAAATAAGTACTATCACCCCTATTCAAAAAATACACAACACTATCAAAGCTGAAGAATTCCGACCAATCAATACTTTACCTCCTATAGAGAAAATATTAGAAATTGCTGTTTATGAACAATTATTAGAACATGTAACAAAAAATACAATTTTAATTAATAATCAATCAGGTTTTAGAAAACAATTCTTTTGTGAATCAGCGTTACAAGTTACATTATGTCACATAAAGAGTAATTTAGATAAAAATAAGTACGTAGTCGGTGTATTTCTTGATTTAAAAAGAGCTTTTGAAACCATTGACAGGACAATAATGATTTCTAAACTTAAAAAATATGGTATAGGAGGTACAGTAATTGCGTGGTTAGAAATTATTTACAAGATCGCAAACAGAAAGTTTGATTTAAAGACCAATTGTCATCTGAAATGGATGGTAATACAGGGATTCCTCAAGGTAGTGTATTAGGCCCCCTTTTATTTATTCTGTACATTAACGATATTGATATATTTTTTGTAGTTTGTGAATTTATTAATAATAAAATAGCTTACTTGATTCTGAAATCATAAATTTAAATATTAACAATGAAAAAATTGAAATTGTCAAAAAAGTTAAATATTTGGGATTCCAGCTTGACAATATTCTGAATTTTGAGAGTTACTTCGAGTACGTTCATAAAAAAATATCAAAAAAACTTTCTGAGTAGAATACCTATCTCAAAATTTATCAATGGAAACAAAAATAACCGTATATAACACAATTATTCAACCTCATTTTGATTATGGCTCATCAATTTTATATTTATTAAAACCTTAACACACTTAACATGCTACAAAAATTACAGAACCGTGGAATGAGAATAGTTCTTAAAACAAATCGCCGTACCCCAATTGAGACGATGTTAAATACTCTAAATTGGTTCTCTGTTGAAAATAGACAGTTTTATTTCACCATGATTTTGGTCTTCAAAATAGTAAATGGCTTATCTGCTGAATATTTTCAAGAATTCATTTCTTTCAACAAAAGTATTCATTCTTATAATACCCCAGGTTTAGATGGCATATATGTACCTAGAACTATGTATAAAAGTACGATTTATTCGCTCTTTTTTAAAAGCTTCGTTAAATTTAATCAGTTACCAACATCTGTAAAAAAATGTACTAGTCTCCGTAATTTCAAACTGTTACTTTAACAATATATCAAAACTTTATAATGTACTTTCTTTATATTGTATGTATATTAGGGTTTCTATTTAAAATAAAGATCTATCTATCTAACCAGCTTTTAGACCGGCTGTAAACAGAATGCAAATAGTCATGATGATCGCCAACCTTCGCAAGAAGTCGCCACCTTAAAAAAGGCCGGATTGTAAATGATAATTAATGTAAGAATTTTCCATTACTAAAATTTTTAAACATAGAATTTGTTTAATGATAAATACTTCTTCAACTACATCTTCGATTGTGTGAGTAACATCATTGTTTTAACCGTATCCGTGTAGCATAGCTTTGACTTTCCTATCGATTTAGTTCATCTTGGATTTCCTCCAACGTTTTAGCACTAGTTTCGATAACATAGAATACCACAAATAATATAAATCCAGTGCAACAACCAGCAAAAATAAAGAACACAGCTCCTATTCCAATTGCTTCGCTTACTGGATTAAAGTATTGAGCAATAAAGAATCCTATAACGTAGTAAATAAATACTGAGAAGGACATAGCAAATGTTTTTACCCTTGTAACATATACCTCGCCACTAACAACCCAGCAAAGAGGGCCAACTCCAAAGTTATATGTGAACATGAATCCGGCTAAGGAAATGATGGGTAAAAATTTTAGTGAAGACGACACTTTTCCTGCATCGTCTAAAACACAATATATTCCCAAAACGGACTCACAAATAATCATTCCTAAGGCTGAAAGTATTAAAAGAAATCTTCTAGTAAATCTTTCGGCTACAAACGGAGCTATGGAACCACTAGCCAGATTAAGAACCCCGAGAATAATTGAGCAAATTGCGGGTGATAAAGTTGAGCCTGTTTTAGAAAATATGGTTTGGCTGTACATAGTTATACCATTAATACCAGTAAATTGTTGGAAAATGAGCAACGCATTTGCTATAATAAAACTTTTTTTAAAAGCTTTAGTTTTAAGCACTTCTATTAATTTTCCAGAGTTTTGTTGCTCGATTTGCTCCTTTATCTCTTTGATTTCTTCGTCAATGTTTGTGCCTGGATTTCTGTATGTTTTTAAAGCATTTTTAGCTAAGTTTTCTTGATTCTTCATAAGATAGTAGTACGGCGTTTCTTCGCAAAACAAGAACGCTGTCAAAATAGCAAGTAAAGGATTGACAGCTAAAATGATGTTCAAAGTTGTTACTGAAACCCATGGCCCAATACAATAACTGGCCAAAGCTCCTACACCAAGCAACATACCTCCAATTGTAGAAGCAGAACCTCTGTTAGTTTTACTCGATATTTCACTTAAAAAGGTTACTTGTATAACGGTCCCGCCTCCTAATCCTAGACCTGTCATGAATCTAGCTATATAATATACCGGAATACTTCTAAATATTGCCATTAATAAATAACTAGCAAGTATGGGAACTCCTACGGCACACATGGTGAATCGTCTTCCTAATATATCGGCCATATATGCATATATCCAACAACCCACGCAGGATCCAAGTACCATCAAAGATGTCATCCAGGAAATTTCATTTGTAGTCGCTATTTTGCCGAACGGGTTATCATCCGTCAAATTTTGTAGTTTTGGAACGACTGGTGAAGACCAACTGATAGCAGTGCCGAACATAAAGGCCATCACTCCCGCTAAAAAAATATTTAATTTATGTAGATTTTATAGATAAATTTTTATTTAAAAGTGTACAACAAAAAATTGTAATTATTAATTAACTAATTAAGTCAAAAGAAAACACGATAACTGATATTTAAAAAAAGTGAAATATTCATTTTAAGTAAAAGTAGACAGTAAAAGTACACCAAATGAGGCCTTACAATAATACAAAAAACTAAGTATTTAATTACCGAAAAAATAAGCAAAAAGCCTACAAATTTAAATGGGAACTATAAAATTAACTGAAACGTTTAAATACTTGGGAGACCAAAAAGCAGGGAGTAACGAAGAAATACATTTTAGGATTGGCCAAGCAAGATCAGCCCCTAGACAGCTACACGAACTTTGTGGAATAATAAAATAAAAAAAATAAAAGAAGAATTTATAAAACAACAATAGGAAGTAATGGGTTGTATGGTGCCGAACTTAGGAAAATCAATCAAAGGAACAAATCAAAAACTAAGGTCATACAAATGGACTATTGGAGACGATATTGCTGACACACTAGACCTGATAGGGTGAGGAACGTAGGCAATAGGAGAGCAATGGAAATTGACCTATACCTAAGCCTACTTTAAGCTATGGTTTGTTAGAACAGTGAGCGACGCATAACTCACATTCAGTCGAACGCCGCGCACGTTCGTCAACATCAAAGAAATGGTTCTCTATGATAACGGTTTGTTAGGTTCTGCTGAGTTGCGCACACTGCAGAACGATGGTCCTGTACGTCGACGGTGTGCGCTGGAATCAACTGCGATTTGATTTGAAACAATCGTTCACCTGAGCTCACAGCGTACACATCTATACCGAAATTATAATTGTATTTTTATATAGTTATTATTATTGTAATAACTAAGTGATGTCTACTAGATTTTCTCCCGAGTAAGATGAAAGACCAGTGGATCTAGTTCAAATTGTAAGACAGTTCCAAATAAATCTGTGGAAAGTCTAAAATATTCTCGAAATTTTTTCTCGTTTTGAAACAATCTTTCTTCGAGTGTATATTTAATTTAGGTTTAACATTATCAACTCTTCTTCTTCCTCTTCCTCTTGGAGTAACTAATAAAATTATTGCGTTAAGTTTGCGAGAATTCATTTTTTTAAACGTTACAACCTTTGGGAGAATTAACGTGAAACTTATTTCTAAACTTTTTTTTTTTATTTACAATTTGCTTCAACCACAAAAGGGTTATTAGCAATGAACAGCATTGATATCAAATTACAAAGCTTATATTAAATTTGGTTAATGAGTCCTATAGTACGTAAAAAATTGAGAGTCTTAGATGAATTATTTTCACTTAAACAATCTTTAAATGTAGTTGGTAATTGTTGATGTTGTCGTTCTATAACGTAGAGGGGACAGTCTATTATTATATGTTGCACTGTTAGTTCACTATCACACACATAACACATTGGAGGGGCTTCCTTCTTTAATATAAAGTCATGGGTGATCTTCGTATGACCAAGTCGTAATCTGGACATGAGCACTTGGTCTCTTCTCTTAGTAGGATGTTTCGACGGCAATACATTTTGTTTGATTTTTCTTAATGTAGAGTTTGATTTATTCCAATTTGTTTGCCATTTTGTCATGATCTTGTTCTTAAAATATTGCTTTAGATCAGTATGAACGCAAGTAGTTATGATGTCTGTTAATGGATGCTCACTCGCATTTTTTGCTAATATGTCAGCTTTATCGTTTCCAGTTATCTCGCAATGTGAAGGTACCCAGAGGAACTGTACTAATCTTTGATTTTGTTGGCATCTCAAGAGTTTCGACGTAATTAAAAGCAGGACAGGATGTTTGGGGTATATTTGCTTTAAGGCTGTTAATGCACTTAGGGAGTCGCTAATGATTATTGAGAATTTAATGTCATGTGTGTTAACAAATTTAAATGACTGGAGGATGGCAAAGAGTTCAGCTGAAACTATGGGAGTTTGGGGAGGGAGCTGGTAGGAACTGTTATAGTTATCTGTTGTGAAAGCCGCTCCTACTCCATTTGCAGATCTGGATGCATCGGTATAAATATGAATGTGATTATTAAAATAATTTAATATCTCTAATAATTTCTGATTGAATATTTTTGCTGGTGTGACACATTTCTTGAATGCAGATAGGTTTGTATTACAATCAGGGAGAACAATTGTCCATGGTAGCATGCTTTGACTGACTTTAAAAATATTGTAATTGGGTGGAATTATTGTGTCTAAGCTTTGTAGCGTTGCTCTAACTCGATGATAAAACGGAGGATCCAATCTTTTTCTCCTATTAAATGTCGATGGAAATCTATCTGTAAATGTGTTTTTATAAACAGGTAGCTGTGGGTTAGTTGATACTCTAGAGGCATACATGAGGCTAAGGTATTCTCTCCTAAGTTGAAGGGATGGTTCGCCTGATTCAACATACATACCTTCAACTGAGCTTGTGTAGTGTGATCCCAGTGCAATTCTAATTGCTGAATTATGAACCGTATCTAGCACTTTTAATAGTGAACCTTTGGCTGAGTTGTAGGCAACAGCAGCATAATCTAGTTTTGAACGGATTAGGGTTTTGTATATAGTCATAAGAGTTTGGAAATCGGCACCCCATTGTTTATGAGAGATACTTTTCATTAAGTTAAGGCCGTTTTGAACCGACAGACGGAGGGAGTGGATGTGGTCTTGCCAAGATAGTCGGTTATCCAGTTTTACTCCCAAGAAGTTAATCGATTCTGAATACTTTATTGGTAAATTTTTTAGGTAGAGTTTCGGTGGATTTATGTATTTCTTTGGAGTTTTACTGAAAATCATTGCTTTCGTTTTAGTGGGTGAAAATTCTAGGCCAGTAGTATTAGACCAGTTCTCTAATTTGTAAATGGCTTGCTGTATATGGGTCGTCATTGTTGATATATTTTTACCACGACAGAATATAACAAGATCATCAGCAAATAGACGGGGTTTGACTAATGGGCTAAGTGACTTAGCGATGTCATTGATGGCAATAAGGAAAAGTACAACACTAAGAGTAGACCCTTGAGGAATACCATTTAATTGGATTTTGGAGTCTGAAAGGAAGTTGTCTATTCGAACTTTGAAGTTTCGCCTATATAAAAAATTATTAATAAATTTGATAATATTTCTTTAGTCGACCAACTTGACAGAATTTTTATGATATCTGATCTCCACATTGTATCATATGCACGCGTTATATCAAAAAATACAGCCAGACATACTTGACCACATCCAAATGACTCATGAATTACGGATTCAATATCCACTATGTTGTCTAATGTAGATCTGGACTTTCTAAATCCACTTTGTATAGGGCTAAGTAGCTGTCGATTTTCTAGGTACCACGTTAGTCGGTTGCTTACCATTTTTTCAAGTACTTTACACATAGTAGAAGTTAGAGAGATTGGTCGGTAAGACTCTGGGTCCGATTTATTCTTGCCTTGTTTAAGAACTGGTACAATAATGGAATCATACCAATCAATTGGGAAAACATTATTTGTCCAAATGAAATTATAGAGAGCCAAAAGATATTGTTTGCCTTCCGTTGGCATAGCTTTTAAAAATGTCGTAGGTATGTTGTCAGGCCCTGGGCTAGTGTCTTTAACTTTGTTTAACGTTTCTAACAGTTCGTCCATCGTAAATGTAACATTTAGAGGTAAATTATTGTGGTCATCAAGATTTATACAGGCATTATTAACTTTATTTTTATGGACTAGGAAAATTGTAGATAGATTTTCGTCACTGCTATGTTGTTGGTATACGTTTGCTAGTACGGAGGCTATTTCTTGCTTAGTTGAATAAATATGGTTATTATGTTGTAGGTAATGAATGGTGTTAAATGATTTTTTCCCGTACATTCTGCTTATCATTTGCCAAACCTCAGAAGTCGAGGTAGATGAATTTAAAGATGATACATAGTTTTTCCAAGCTTCTTTCTTACTCTTTTTTAAGGTGTATCTACAGTACGCCCTTAATCTTTTGAATTCAAGCTGGTTATTTAAAGTTGGGTGCCTTCTTAATTTATAAAATGCCTTTTTTGAATCTTTAATGGCTGTCTCGCAATGAGAATTCCACCACGGGACTGGGGCACGTTTTTTTGGAAATTTTGAATAACCTATGGACTCGTGAGCTATTGACGTTAAAAACTGTACGAAATGGAGTACTTTGGAGTTGATATCAATATCTGTATCGAAGGGCTGAACCAACTGAGAAATTTTTTGTGAAATTAAAGAGGAATAAAGAGACCAATCTGCATTTTTCAAACACCATTTATTGGATGGAACTGATGAGGAGATATGGTTATTGTTTATAATTAGGATAGGAAAATGATCACTTCCATGCAAATGAGATGTCACATCCCACGACAGAGTTGGTTGTAAGACAGAGTCACAAAGGGATGAATCTATTGGTGACCCATTTCCGGTGGAAATATTGAACCTTGTGATTCTTCCATCGTTAAGGATATTCATATTAGAATCGGTAACAATTTGTTCGATTTTACGTCCCAAGGAACCTGTTTTTTTTGTCTCCCCAAAGTATATTGTGAGCATTAAAATCACCTAGTATAATACGCGGTTCTGGAATTTGATTAAAGAGATCAGTTATTTCATTTATGGACGGGTCTAAGTCCGGAGGAAAATAAATATTACATATATTAACTTTGCGGGGGCCTTTTATAGATACTGCTGTTGCCTCCAACTCAGTTCTTAAACGTATTACTTCGGTATTAAATGAGTTATGGACATATATTACTACTCCCCCACTAGCATGGCTAGCAGTTATTCTGTTCTTATAATACGGAGTATAGTTTCTTAAATTATGACAGTTATCTTCTTTGAAGTGGGTTTCTTGTAGGCACATTACAGATGGTTTAAATTTAGCTATAATTAATTTAAGTTCTTCTAAATGGGTGTAATACCCATTTAGGTTCCATTGAAGTATACAGTTGAATGTTGTTGTATTAAATTTCAGCAGAGGCGTCGCTGCT